TTTCCAATCTTAACTTCATTGAACTTGAACCTTAAATCCTTAGTGTATTTCTTTTGGTTTATGAAGATACCATCTTTGAGTTGTTTTATTTGAAGTCCACGAAACTAAGCTCTCTGATCATACTTATCTCAAACTCATTATGCATACATTTAGAAAATTCTTCACATAAAAAAGGAGGATTAGTAGAACCAAATATGTATCATGTACATATATTTGAACTAATAGCCTATCATTTTCTTTAATTTTAATAAAAGAAAAATAGTGACGAGTTTACCCATTTTAAAATCATTCTCAATAAGAAAATTAATAAGTCTGTCGTACCAAGCTCTTGAACTTGTTTTAAAAAACATAAATAGCCTTTTTCATCTTATATACATGATGTGGAAAATTAAAATTTTCAAATTCGGGAGATTGTTCTACACAAACTTTCTCCATAATATAACCATTTAAGAATGCACTTTTCATTGATGCAATATAAAATTTTTGTAAGAAGCAAAAACGAGTAACATTCTAATAGCTTCTAATCTAGTCACAAGTACAAAAGTTTATTCATCGTCTATATCTTACTCCTGACAATAAACTTGAGCTACAAGTCCACCTTTATTTCTAATGATATTTCCATTTTCATCAATTTTATTGTGGGGTAAATTGGGTACCAAATTATTTTTTGTTTTCTCGTCCTAGAGCAAACATAGAATATTAGGAGCATGTTAAATTTTTAAGTCACTTTTAGAAAGTATCGTGGGGTAAATTGGGTACCAAATTATTGTTTTCTCATCCTATGGGAAATAAGGTTGTTAATAGAACATTAAGAGCATTTTGCTATTATTTATAAGAATGTTAAAATTTTAAGTCACTTTTGGAAAGTATTTGTGGGGTAAATGGAGTACCAAATTATTGTTTTCTCAAACTCTGACTCATGAGCAAACTCAGGTGGTCAATAGAGCATTAGGAACATTGCTTAGGGCTATTATTTATAAGAATATTAAGTTTGGGATGGAAGTTTCTCATTGGTAGAGATGGCATATAATAGATCAATTCATAGTATCACCCATTGTTCTCCTTTTGAAGTTGCTTATGGATTTAATCCAGTTACGCCTCTTTTTTTACTTTCTCCTAATATTTTTGTGAGTGAAGCAACCACAAGTAAGGTAGATTTGATCAAAACATTGTACAAAATAGATCAATTCATAGTACCACTCATTGTTCTCCTGAAGTTGTTTATGGATTTAATCTAGTTACGCCTCTTTATTTGCTTCCTATTCCTCCTAATATTCTTGTGAGTGAAGCAGCCACAAGTATGGCAAATTTGATCAAAACATTCCACAAAGAGGTGAAGGAGAGAATTGAGAAACAAAATTTCAAAGTTGCTTCAAGAATTAACAATGAAAGAAATCATTTTTCAACCTGGTAACTAGGTTTGGATATATTTTTGCAAGTAGCGATTCTCATCTCGAAAGAAGACAAAGTTACATGCAAGAAGGGATGACCCTGATCAAGTCCTTGAATAAATTAATAACAATGCATGTAAAATGATCTTCCCAGAGAATTTTCAGCACATTCTACTTTCAATTTTACTAACTTAGATGATTTTTCTGATTCGAGAACGAATCCTTTTGAAGAGGGGGAAGATGATAACGATCACAGTGTTCCAAATATTCCAACTGTACCTATTACACGATCCAAGACCAAGAAGATTCAACAAGCATTCCTTCTTCAATTGGGCATGCTCCAAGACTTGTTAGCCTTCTTGGTCTTCTATGAAATGACTCCTTGATAGTGAAAAAAATTGAATGAGATAATTTTCCCTCGACAAATTTTTGTGTAGGCTCGTATTGGGTTTTTCAAGTTTACATGCTTCTCTAATGATGTGTTTTTTTTTTTTTTTTTTTATAGAGAATGTATTTAATAGGTTGAAACTGACCATATTTTGCAAAAAGTTTAGATCTAAAAAGTAAACAATATTTTATTGCCTAGTACATCAATTTCTTTAGTGTGAATTTTATATAAAATTGGAGAAAATACAAATAATTTAAGTAACACTGTTTTATTTATAGATAACGTGGAAGGAAGAAACAAAAATTATAAATTTAAAATTAGGAAAAAAAAATCTAGAAGGTAGACCTAATAAGACAATTTAAAGAAAACAAAAGAAAAATGTTAAATAATATTTACAATACATTTTTAACTAGTGCATTTAGTCCCGTGGTATTATTCCTATTTTAAAGAGGTCTTGTCATTGATTCTTCAAATGCCCCTCACTTTGTCATTTTAGAAACCATCCAAATGAAAGCAAATGAAAGATGAGAGGGCAACAAGAAAGATCAGAGTGAATATCAAAAGCCAAGAAAGTACAACCATTTAAATGAAAGCAAATGAAAGATTCGAGGGCAACAAGAAAATGAAAGATGAGAGTGAATATCAGAAGGAAAATGAAAGGTCAAATTAGATATCAAATGGCAAGAAGTACATAATTTTGTCACTTCAAATAACTCCATCAAATTCTTAAAATAGTAATAATAGAAAATGAAGTAAGACTTTACCCATGCAAAGTTTTTAATGCTCGCATGAAGTCTCGCATGTGAACCATTGTAAGAGTTAGAGAATTGAACGTGAAATTGATGTCATGGATTCATATAGGTTGACTGAGATACAAAAGACAAAATCAAACTTTTATTAAGGATAAATTGGTGACATCAGCTTAAGCTAATCAAGTAAGTTGTCTTACTAATAGGATACGCTAAAAATTATAGGAGTATGATATGGTGTTGTATTGTATGTTATATGTACATTATTTATGTTTTGTCGCATGACGACATGTTACGTTTGAGATGCCTAGGATGTCTCTAATGTCTGAGATGTCTAAGATGTATAATATGTTTGAAATGTCTGAGATGTCTCTGATGTCTTAGATGCCTATGATGTCTGAAATGTCTGAGATGTCTCTAATGTCTTAGATGCCTTTGATGTCTGAGATGTCTGTGTCACGACCCGATTTTCGAGGCTTCGAAAGACCGAATTGTGACTAAAAAACGAAATCGAAGACAAATTAAAAGAAAAAGAAAATAGAAGGTAAAAATCCGGCTAAATTTGAAGCAAGAAAAGGAAATCAAGGACACCAAAATTAAATATAAAATCAAAGTCAAAATGTTACCGATAGTAATTACAAATATAAAATGAAATACAAAAAACTCTAAATATGAAAACGAACAAAGAACTTTAAAAGACTGACAAGGGACTGACGCTCCGGAACGACACCCCTCTGTGACAGAGTAGCTCTCGAACACCTCCCCGTATTGACTGATACCTGAAAAAAAAAAGGGGGAGAAAGAGGTGAGTATAAAAATATACTCAGTAAGCAACCTACTTGTAGGCTCTTTTCGCATCCTTATCTTGCTTGGGTTTCTAAAGAGCGTGATCTAAGCTGCAACTCTCTTTTCTGTATCTTAGGAGGCTTGCCCATCTTAAGCAGTGAAATGATTAGTGTCCTGTGGTGAGGCGCGACCTCATAAGTAAATCTGAGGGGATCGTATGGCTGGATCTGAATACGTGACTCTCTTTGAACATCATCCGTGGAGGTTAGCTAATGACCCTCACACGGGACCATACATCCACTAAATTCGGGGTGCGACCCCCTGTGTGCCGGTCAGCTACTGAGTCATCGTATGTGGCTCCATGTCTCCCGCTCAGGGACAGGTTTCTATGGCCCAGGAGTCCTGTTCAGAAGACCCCTTAGCTATCACCACTAGGTCTAGGCACCTGTCACACTACCCTACTAGATCTGCCATGCTCAACGATCTTCGTATCGGAGCTCTGTCTCGACGGTACGGTATCGGAGGAGAGAGGGAAGTGGAGGTTCTGATGACACTATCTACACTGCTCAACTCTAGTGGGCTACCTACAGTTACCGTGGTGACCTATTATTATTTCTAGGGAACTTGGTGGCTTAGACTTGGATTTATGTATCTATAGGATTCTCGTGTCTAGTCTCACAAACCTATCGGGTTTGGAACTCTGGGCTCTAGATCCGCCGGTAATCATTTTGCGGGTCTAATTGCACGGTATTCTAGAGGTCCCCCAATCTAGGGTCTCATCTAGCCTACTTAGTCACAAGCACCCTAATCTAAGCTCATAATTTCTTCCTATTCATCAAGAAAGATAACACAAGCAATCATCATGCATAAGAGTTAACACGCAGCAGTTCATGCAATATTAACAAACATGCTCAACAGGAAGATAACGTCCATCTTTACCCAGAGCGCAGATTTCACAAGTTTCCCATCCTCCTCATGCATACATACTTTATCAGAATCTCAAAGATTTAATAAACATTTCATATCTAGCTTTCCTTAATCATTTCATTTTCGCAATTTCCATACTAATATACTAGGTCCAGCTAGCTAAGTTAATAGGTGGTAGCATGCATGCTCGTTCCTAGCGGTTCCTACAAGTATTGCTCGTGGGAATCCAAATGGCTACTTACATGGTTGACGCGTGCCTTTCCAAGCTCGAATTATTTACCGGAAAAGGTTCCAAAAATTCTGAAATTTCTTTGATAGGTCCTAAATCAAGTTAGACTTAGATCAGTATCAAAACTGGGATGAAAAATAGTCAAACGGAAGTCAAATCGGGATAAAAATAGATCTCAAGCGCTGGTTCACGCGCCCCACGCGCCGGAGGGGTTTCCCACGCGCACCGACACGCGTGCTGAGGGGATGGAGTCGCGCGTTGGTGTTTCGCCACGTGGCGAGGGCTGACTGGTCCACTGAGAGGTAGGGCGTATGTTCGAATCTGGACGCACGCGGGTTGCTACGAATTTTCCCACGCTGACGCGTGGCAGATACGGGTTCAGGTCGCACGCGGGTTCATGGATCGGGTATCGGGCGCCGGTCTTCAACCCTACCTGACGCAGTATTTTTCGTAAATTCCCTGCCATTCCGCGTATGACATGTGTCCAATCGTCCCCGCGACGCGCGGCCTCTCCTTTCCTGACACGCGTCCCTCCGCCGTTCGTCTTCCTTCTTTCATCTCTACCGATTATTTTCTATTTTGTTTGCATTTTCATATTTCGTTCTACCCAACTCGGATTAACATAATTCCTTCACGAGAAATATAGATCTCATATAGGTATTTTTCTTGTAATTTATTTCTAACTACAGATAAAATAAACTTAGTTCAAAGTTAGCAAGATTATCAATACTTACATCCTTCAGTGAAAGCAGGAACTCCTATTTTCGATCTGAATCGATCAAGACTTCCTTCACTGATTATGAGCGTAATCTTCTCTTGATTAACAAACTCAAATTTCAGAATCTAACTCTCAATATTTCTCATAGATCTGAAAACAATCCGAAACAAAGGTTCAAGAACTTACCTACGGATTTTCTTCTTTCCTCGATGGTTTGAATGATTCAAGGTTTCAGAAAGCTTCCTATTCGTTCTATGAAGGATTTGTGACGAATCTTGCCGGATTCCCCTTGGGGGTTGACTTTGACCATTTTTTATAATTTTTCACCATTTTTTCTTTTTATATTTTTTCTTGAGTTACTGAAATATTTCTAAACATTTTTCTCTTCCACCTCATCTCAAAATTAAGTCTATAAGATTCTCAATAAAATTTCATAAGTTCAACTTAAAGGGGAAAACATAGGTTTTAAGTTTCTCGTTGGGTTCGAGTGTTAAGGTTGAGATGTCTGGGAGGTTTGAGATGTCTGAGATGTCTAAGAAGTCTCAGATGTTTGTATAAGAAGCTAGGCTTCCGTCTTTTTCTTGTATTGTTTTTTCTTTCTACTGTATTTCATATCTACGTACCTCGAATTATTCAAGAGTATTTTTCTTGCTGGTATTATCGGAGATCTTTTCTTCTTTTCAATTAGTTTTTTTTTTTTTTTTACTAATAATGGAATTTTCATTTTCATTCAAATTTAAAAGAAATGATTTAATTGGTATGATCCATGGATTACTCCAAACCAAAGTTCTAGATTAGATATAGAACAACTTAGTATTTCATTCTTCCTTCTCATCAATCAATAAAATTATTTTTTTTATTGTTATTTGGGTTGATTTCTTAATTTATTGTGAGATTTCCTTATCAAAATTTTCAATTAGTTAAAAATTATTACCCTAAGTTTAGTATTTTGATTAGAGATTCCTCTTTCTCATTCTTAATCAAATTCTCTTATTCTTAATCAAATTCTCGAGTGGGCTTGACTTAGTTGATACATGATTTATGTTGTCTTTCATTTTTTCGTTTGTTTCAACAAATATATCAATCACTTCCGATTCTTTATTTTTCTATTTATTCTTTTCCGATTGAGATGTATGGATCCATTGGCCTATGTGTCTACATAGAACTTGTTCATTGATTAACGAAACTGTGCAAAATCTATATTTGTCTCCGCTATGAGTCTCTTCCTTTTTACATATGACATCACCACTCCATTTGCTAGCATCCTAAAACGAATTTTCAAATGTGCATGTGTATGAATCCTATTATAAATTCTTTTGTTTATAAGGAAAATTCTAATTCAATATCAAGATATATATCAAGCAATAACCAATAATTGTATTTCCATTAAACGACATTTCAAGACAATTTAACTTGATCATATACTCTTTCTTATGATTGCATACTAATAGTCCGTGAGGTAAGAAGTCTTTCTTTACATCCTCAAGGCTTTATACTTACCACTTTGGGAGGCAAAGGAAAACAAAAATTTAAGTCCGTTAAAACAATAATCCTATTAATATCATTTTGTGTTTCTCACTTTCAATTGAATTACCTTTCAAAATTTGAATTTTCCATATCTTCTTTACTTATACACACAAGATGTGTGGCTCAAATGAAACTATATCTTTTACTTATGCACACAAGATGATACGTTCAATGCACAATTGAATATGAAGTTCATTCCAAGAACATTTGGTACATTGGTATGATTCTTGATTTGGGTGTGAGAGGTCCTTAGTTTAATTCTTGGAATTCCCCCCTTTTTCATAATATATCATTTCAACAAAACACGTGTTGACAACTTTGTTAGGCTGTTGGTTTATATTGCATCACGAGAAGGGTTGATGATTTTCTTTCTGTTAAATCCTTGAACTTCCTCTTATACAACAAGACATACCGCATTTGAATAGAGTATTCTAATTGAATGCATAAAGTTGGAAGCTAAAAATGATGAGTGTTCAAGAAAGGGCATTTGGTTTAATGGTATGATTCTTGTGCAAGAGGTCCTGAGGTCTCTAAAAACATATAAGCACAGATAGATTTTAATCCAACAAAATCCTACCAATTTCACGCCATAGTATCACGGTATTATTTGTGGGAGTAATAATATCTCGCATCCAAAACAAGAATCATACCACTAGACCAACACAATATCGAGTTGATTAGCAGTCAAGATAAGATCCAACCATACCTCGATAAGATTTAATATCCACACATTTACCTCTTTCATTTTTATCAAGCTTAATGGATGTGTTCATTGGAGTTTTTGCAATCTTACCTTCATTGAACTTGAATCTTAAATCTTTAGTGTATTTCTCTTGATTTATGAAAATACCATCTTTGAGTTGTTTGATTTGAAGTCCAAGAAAGAAACTAAGCTCTCCGATCATACTCATCTCAAATTAATTAGGCATACATTTAGAAAATTCTTCACATAAAAAAGGATTAGTAGAACCAAATATGATATCATGTACATATATTTGCACTAATAGCATATTAGTTTCTTTAATTTTAATAAAAAAAAGGTAGTGTCGAGTTTACCAATTTTAAAATCATTCCCAATAAGAAAATTACCAAGTCTATCCTACAAAACTCTCGAACTTGTTTTAAAAACATAAATAGCCCTTTTCATCTTATAGACATGACGTGGAAAATCAAAATTTTCAAATACGGGAGGTTGTTCTACACAAACTTCCTCCATAATATAACCATTTAAGAATGCACTTTTCCCATTCATTTCAATATAAATTTTTTTTAAGAAGTAAAAACAAGTAATATTCTAATAGCTTCTAATCTAGCAACGGCAAAAGTTTCTTCATAGTTTATACCTTCCTCCTGACAATAAACTTGAGCTACAAGTCCACTTTTATTTCCAATGATATTTCCATTTTCATCAATTTTATTTCTAAAAATCCATTTGGTGGTTCAAATAATGGAAATATTAGAGAGCCGAGTGACTAATTCCCAAATTTTCTTCCTTTCAAATTGATTTACATCTTCTTGCATAGCTAAAATCTAAAACTCTTAATTTTCGGCATCCTTAAAACTTTTTGGTTCAATTTGAGAAACAAAATCAACGATTATTAAATAAATTAATAGAAGAACCAGTTTTCACACCTTGTTTGAGATCACCGATAATCAAGTCCTTGGGATGAGACGGAAAATTTAGGGTTTTAAATGTAAGTACTGTGGGGATGTAGCTTAGATTGTAGAGTGTTCGCTTAGCATGCGAAAGGTATGGAGATGCGAAAGATATGAAGATTGATACCTTGCATCTCCAAAAGAAGCTATTTATTTTTTATATTTTATTTCTATAAAAATTTTCCTTATTTATGACATAATGAGGATGTAGCTATTATTTTTTCCTTATTTTTTTCATTTTTACTATTATTAATGACCGGAGGTATATGGTTTTGTAACATAAGAATCATGGGGATGTAGTTAGCTTCTAGAGCGCTTAGCATGCGAGAGATATGGGGATCAATGTCCTACATCTCCAAAAGAATGTGTTAATTTCTATTCTATTTTTTCATTTTCAATATTATTGATGATGGAACATTTAGGGTTTTGTGATATAAGAATTGTGAGGATATAGCTTAGATGGTAGAGTGCTCAGTTAACATGTGAGAGGTATGGGGATTCGATACCCTGTACCTCTAAAAGAAACTATTTTTTATTAATATTTTATTTTTATTCAATTTTTCCTTATAGAGATATTTTTTCATTTTCACTATTAATGAGGATGAAAAGTTTAGGGTTTTGTGTTGTAAGAATTGTAGGGATGTAACTCATATGGTAGAGCGCTTGCTTTGCATGTGAGAGGTACAATGATCGATATCCCACATCTCCAAAAGAAAATTATCAATTATTAAATATTTTATTTCTTTTCAATTTTTTCTTATTTATGACATAATAGATAGTTTATCATTTTCACTATTATAGATGACGAAAAATTTGTTAATATAGAATAAATAATTTTTTATTTTCACTTAATAGATATTTTTTCATTTTCACTGATTTATTAAATATATTATTCTTTTCAATTTTTTCTTATTTATGACATAATAAGCAGAGATAGTTTTTCATTTTCGGAAAATTTGTTAATATATTATTTCAATTCGATCTTTCCTATTTATGACATAATGAGAATAGATATTTTTTCATTTTCACTAATTTATTAAATATATTATTTTTTTTCAATTTTTTTCTATTTATGACATAATTTTATTAAATATATTATTTCTTTTCAATTTTTTTCCTATTTATGACATAATGAGCCGAGATAGTTTTTCATTTCCACTATTATTAATAATGACGAGACATATGAGTTTTATGATTTAAGAATTGTTGGGATGTAGCTAAGATGGTAAACTCTTTGCAGGAAATATATACTGGGATCGATATCGTGCATCTCCAAAAGAATCTGTTTGTTATTAATATTTTATTTCTATTCAATCTTTTCTTATTTATGACATAAATAGCAGATATATTTTTTTATTTTCACTATTATTGATGACGGGACGTTTAATGTGATGTAAGAATTGTGGGGATGTAGCTCAGATGGTAGAGCGCTTGCTTTGCATGGGAGAAGTACAAGGATTGATACCTTGCGTTTCCAAAGGAATTGATTACTAGTTTTTTTTATTGATGACGGGGATGTTTAGGGTTTGTGATGTAAGAATCATGATGATGCAACTCAGATTGTAGAGCACTTGAGAAATATAGGTATCGATACAGGGACGTTTAGGGTTTTGTGATGTAAGAATCATGATGATGCAGCTCAGATTGTAGAGCACTCGCTTTGCATGTGAGAAATATAGGGATCAATACCCGCATCTCTAGAAGAAACTATTCATTATTACTATATTATTTCTTCATTTTCACTATTATTTAAGACGGAAAATTTAGTGTTTTGTGATGCAAAAATTGTGGGGATGTAGCTCAAATGGTAGAGCGCTCGCTTAGCATGCGAAGAGGTATGGGGATCCGATGCCCCACATCACCAAAAGAAACTATTCGAGATATTTTTTCATTTTCACTATTATTAATAACAGGAAGTTTAGGGTTTTGTCATGTAAAAATTTTGGGGATGTAGCTCAGATGGTAGAGCGCTTGCTTAGCATGTAAGAGGTATGGGGATCGATACCTTGCATGTCCAAAAGAAACTATTGTTAATATTTTATTTCTATTCAATCTTTCCTTATA